TACTCTCTCTAGTGTGTGGAGTGATTGAAGGCCTCTTGTACTTGGTAGCTTGGCTTTTAAATAGGTCAAAATCAGCAGGTCGGCTTCATCACCAGCGCAATTAGATTTTTAACCCTTTCCCCCAGTGCTCGCTAGAGTACAGCAGTGGCTTATTAATTGATTGCTGTGCGTCGGATGCTGCCATTGGAAGCCTGAGGTTTTCAATTCCCAGCCGTCTCCTCCTCACAGCTGAAATCCTCCTGAAAAGGAGAGCTGTTGAATCCTGGTGTGCTAGGAGACTTGGTGAGATTAGGGTAAGAGTTGCTGGAGAGACAGGCCAGTAGCAGTGAGGTTCTGCTGTGGGATCAGTAGTTTGGGGCATTGTCAAAGCTCTGATTGAGGAACGTGCCTACTTCACTGTCAGGACCACTGTCCAGCAGCATTTGGAAAGAGGTGAGATGTTAAAATGTTTCCTCGCACACGCCTCCGACCGCTACGTCTCATGATAGAAGTGAATTGTTAAGTGTAGCTGCACTTGTGGTTTGTTGATGATGGTGTATTTTAATCGTGTGTCCCCTTGTGTAGTGTTTTTACCATGTGCAGCAGGGAAAAGGTTAATCATGTAAGGTTACGTGTAATTGAAATCAGGATTTGGGCTGTTAATGGGGCTGTTTAATAGAAACAGATTTGTGCAAACAACCCTTCCCCCACTCGGGGCCTGCATGATCTTCCTGTTTATAGTAATCCTGCTTCTGGGATTACCTCTCTTCACAGACACCCTAAGTAGTTCTCATTTTTCCAATAGCTTCCCATCTAATACAGGAAAGGCTCTCTTAATAGGGCATTCTCGCTGGACATTAGAAAAATAAGTGAGTGGCTTTGAGTTATTAATTTTGTGTCTATGCTAGAAAGGGAATGGCAATTGCAGATGCATTCATTCATTTAATCATCAAGCAGCTCTCCAGTGTCATGGTGGTGTAGCAACACGGTTGAGTTTGAATCAGTTGATGGTTTTTGCTTGTCAGTTCTGAAAGGAGGCGACAGTCCAAAAGAAATGTGTGCAGGAGAAAGGGATTGCTCTACCTTGTTCACAGCCCCTCTCTCCTGACCAAACCAGAACATTTTGTATCCCAGTTAATCTGTGATAAAAACTAAAGTGAATGCTGCAGAGGAAGCAAAACAGATGTGCTAGTGTAAACATTTAGCTTGCAAGGTGGGATAATATGGTAAATGTCTCCCAGCAGGGGAGTTCGTATGGAAAGAAACCTAAATAGAACTTCTGTGATGTATTTTGCTTCCGCCCCCACCCCATTCCTTGTAGGCCACTGGCTTAGCCATTCCTTAAAGGTATTTTCCCTCCCTGCCATTCTTTACTATCAAGGAGCTAGTTAACTTGCTCAGTCCAAGGAAGAGCAATTCGCTTCTTGCTTGAAAGGTCACCTTTGCCTTGTTGCAGAGCATGCTCCCTGAGCCCTGCTGGCTGCTGCTTCTCCCTGCTGTCTTCCAGCTCTAACCTCCTTATAGATGCAGCACCATGGAAACAGGCCCAGTGTTGAGCAGGCTGCGCACCGCCAGGAACCTTGTTTGTGTCACCTGAGGGGCAGGATGCAGCATGAAGGATGAGGAGCAGGGTCATTGCTAAATGTGTATGGACGGAACGGCTTTTCTTCCTACCCAGTGGTCCTGCCTGGCTTGGGATTCATCTGAAACTTTTAACCAAAGACTTGAGAGGACTGCAGCTGGATTTTGTGCAGATCTTCCTCTGTACCCCTGGATTTCTTTTCTGGGATGTAGTCCAGAGAAAGATTTGGAGGGGCTGTGATGTGGCACCGCTATGATTTGGGGGTGCTCCACCAGATGGCTGTACAATTGCTTCATGTAGGTGCGCTTGATTGCTGTGGTTTAGAATGTGTTGGCCATTTTAACCCGAGGATGCTACAGATGTGATGGCTTAATCTGGGTTTGTGAAAAGTTGCCTTGTTTGGGAAGAGGTCGTTTGTCTTCGCCTCCCTTCTGATCACCCCAGGTTTTCCTGCTGTGAGCTGTTGGGGCTGGAATTCGCTGTGGGCGCTCTTGGCTAATTCCCTGGCATCATTCTCAAAAGGACTTTCTATTGGAAGTGAATTTGCTGAGAATTTGGGAGAGTTGCCACTTGGGCAGCCAGTGACCTCAGCAGCTCTTTCTTGTAGAGGAGAAATGTAAATTAGAGAGAGGATTTCAGAATAATATTAAAGTGGTGCATTGTGGTGTGTTTATTTTAGACTTGCCCTACCTAATTGCAGCAAGTGTTCAATTATACATGGCTGAGGTTTTAGGGTTTCATTGCTGCAAGCGGCTGCTGTAGTCTATTACAAAAAAGCACAGTGCAGACAACATACTCATACTAATGCTGTCCATTTGTATTTGAAATCATTTTTGTAACATCCATCTGATCAGAACGCAGCTGTTCCCTGTGTGTAGGTCATTTTAATTTATTTAATGTAACCTACATTTTCTCTGAGAATGTCTAAAGATCCCATGTGAATCAACCCGAGTGCCAGAAGTAGCTGATCTTGTGCAAAACTAAAATGAGATGAACTCTGCTTGCTTCTTGAGAGATTTATTCTTTGTGGTACCCATGTTTTGGTCAGTTGCCTTGGAACCTCTGAAGATACAAGAAAAATGCATTTACAGAAGGTTTCAGTATCCCTCAATAAGATTTTTTTAATATTACAAAATATTAAGTTCTCCTCTGAAACAGTTCCAGCAGGCAGTACAGTTTTTCGAGAATAAAGCTGCCACCATAGCTCACAGTGCCTTCTCAGTGCTCCTCTGAGCAGCCATTCTAAATGTTTAGCTTTGAAACTAAGGGTTGGTCTGCACTTAAAACACTAGAGTGGCACAGCTGTACTGGTGCATCACTTCAGTGTAGACACTACCTATGGCAGGAGGAGGGGATCTCCCATCCGGGTAGATAATCCACCTCCCAGCGAGGCGGTAGCTAGTTCGATGGAAGAATTTTAGCGCCATCTGCATGGGAACTTAGATCAGCTAAGCAGTGCTTCTTATGGGGAATGGATTTTTCACACTTTTGACGGACATAATTTAAACATACCTCATTTTCTAGCGTAGACCAGGCCTACATTTTGGCCTAACTATGATGGGAAACTTTGGTGATAAACTATTGCTTTAAAGTGCAGCTCTGCTCTGAAAAGTGTGTGCAAAAATGGTGCTAGATACTCTCACATCTGCTGTTCCTACTTTGTCTTATTTGCGGTGCTTTGCTGAATGGTGGTAGAAGGAACTTTGCTGAGTGGAGGCCTAGAATTTTTTTTATTCCTGTTCGTGTTGCAGAATCAGATGAAATGAGAGGGATCTGGATTCTGTTCCTTGCTCACTATCAATCATTTTGTTTACTAAGTTCCTGTTATAGGGATGAGCGGTCAGGCATAAGTAGCCCCGCCACAGTAGTGCAACTGAAATCAGTTTTCCTGCAGAACTTTTTATTGCAGGTAGTGCTGCACAGTGAGGAAAGAACTACCGTGAGATGCTGTTTGGAAGACAGATAAACACAAACCTCTTAAATTGCAAACTGCTTACATGTATTCTGGACTCAGTACCGTGGTGCTTTGACAGTAGCCTGCTCTATAAGAACTTGATCTCTCTCTGGGCTTGTGTACACAACTCACAACAAGCTGGGGTGTGAGTCTTTTCTGCACAAGCCTTTGGTACAAGTGTGGACCCTGCTGCTGCACCCCAAATTTCCGTAGTGCACTTGGATCTACCCTGCTTTGAAATAGTAGATTAAAGTGAACTAACAAGTTTGTCATGTGTGGAAGCATGGTGTATGCATTTTATGGTGTGTAGCAGCAGAGTGTAAATCTACCCTGCTCTCAGCATGACTGGCACTCAATGTCCACATGGACGTTTAGTGCCTAGCATGCTATAACAGAGTAGATTTACACCCTAGTTTGCCACAAATGTCAGATTTTGAGTAGAGAAGCACAGCTATAAAGTATCACAAAGAAATTTAATTCTGAAAATATTGTAAACTATTTGACATGCAAAACTGGTCCCCAGACCCTAACGGTGCCGAGTATCTGGAGGTGTGTGTCTTTGAGAAGGCAGCAGAAACAAAAGGGAGGCTGATTGAAGGAGATCTGGATAGATGGGAAATGCCTGGGGCGATAGAGGATAAGAAACAGTCTGAAATGGTCAGGGATGCCCTTGCGGGAGCTGGAGGTGGGGGATTGCAGAAGTGCTCAAGGAGAAGAGACCTAGTCCTCAGCTGCAAAAGAGAATCTGCATGTCCATAAGGAAGTAAAAGGCAGCTTGGGGCATCCCCAAAGGAGGCCAGAAAATACAAGGGAGATGGGAACAGTTAAAAAGTGTAAGAACCAGCCAAGGGGATTGCAAAATGTTAGTGCAGACAGCTCGTCTGGGTAGGATAAGGTGACAGGGCATTTGCGTGTTTTAATTGGGGGTTTTTGCTAGTGGTTTTCTATTTTCTCCTCCACAATATGTAGAGGGAAATCTCAGTGATTGAAAAAACTCAATGAGAGGGAAAAAAATCTCATTTTGCGTCTCTTTAGGGATTGGGGGTAGGGTATTTGTTGCTATTAGCAAAGCACTTGCTTAGTAATCAGCATTTAAATACTCCCAGTAGCATATAGTAGACAGTAAATACAGATTTAAAGGGAAATTCAGTGTTTTGTGAAGCATTTCTCTTTTTCTTTTTCATTGTGCCAAAATGGCTGCAACTTGTATTTTTGTAAATCTAGATCTCCTGAATTTGGGTGGTGGTGGAATCTAGTTGCTAGCCAGATGCTAGTATCACCATTTTTTACCATGTTAGAGTTATACAGCACCATGAGTTTGAGAAACTGAATGAATTGATGCATGGGATTTATTTTCTTTAGGGCTATAAAGTACTTGTAAAAACTGTACAGAGTGGTTAACCCATGAGCCTCAGTCTTCCTTTGTTTCTGGATCTTGCCAAATCCTGAGAGGTCTCCTTCTTTCCCCCTCTTGTCCTCTTTCAGGTCTCGTGGACTACCAAAACTGAAAGAATCTCGTTCACATGAATCTTTGCTGAGCCCAGGCAGCGCAGTGGAGGCATTGGATCTTGGGACGGAAGAGAAAGTCTTTGTCAAACCTCTTCACAGCAGTATCCTTGGACAAGACTTCTGCTTTGAGGTAAAGAAACCCCACTGGCTGAAAGTACAGATTGCATGGTGTATATATCCTCAGTCTGTCTGTATCCCCACTTTGTGATTTCCTAACTGGGTGTGAATAAATCCGTTCTCTCAGACATTCTGAGGTTATCATGTAGAGTAGGCCATCTAATCATCATAAAACTCTAAAGTCCTCTGGGCTAATGACATCCATCAGTCAATAGGAAGACATCTTTTCAGTGACTGTGTTCTTGTATTGAATGTCTGCATATCAGATAACCATCCAAGTGTTTGTAATGTGCATGCAGATACATGGCTTAAGATAGCTTGTTGCATTCTTCATAATCTGAGTTCTCTTACCATACATTTAAAAAATGTTGCATTCTTCATAATCTGAGTTCTCTTACCATACATTTTTTTTTAAATTAAATACAAACTAATAGAGAAGTCAGCTGAGAGATGAGCTCCAGTCCAAAAGCTCAACCTGTTCTAGCAGGCTATGGAGGAAAAGCTCAAGAAAAACAGACCTTGCAGGTGTTCTGAAGGTCAATGAACTTTGTCAGGCAATCAAGGGATTAAATTCTTTGGCTCAGGGCTTCCACTGCCCCCTGGCCTTCTCCATTGGTCCCCTGCATTCATATTATGGGGCTGTTCATAAGAGCATCCTAGCTGATCTTGGTTACCAAGATACCATGTGAAGAAAGTGGCTTCTAAGTTAGAAAGATCTGCAAAGTTAGCGGAGGGCTACTGAAGGCATGTTACATGAGTCTGCTTTTAAACTGGATAAACCCTACTTAAAATGCATGCCTAAAGTTGACAGGATGAACAGCATATTACCAAGTTTTACTTCAAGGCAGTCATGCTCAACATAACGTCATGGGCCCACTGGGTCTTCGGTGAAGTTATGCCTAGGTTGAATCTGGCCCCAGCTGTTTAAATCTCTGACACAAAGATTTATTTACTCCCTTGAAAACTGCTCTGTGAAAACACCGAATATATCGGTCTTCTCTCTTTTCCTTATGGGCTCCTATTCAGAAGCTGTTCCAACTCAATTCAAAGTAGTATCTGTTGTGTGGCTATTGATCTCAAAGGCCCAAAGAGTTACAGGTGTTTATAATCTCTCACTGTCTGACATTAAAAGAAAAGTGGGTTTTGCTCATGAAAGCTCATGCTACTATATATGTTTTTGTTAGTCAGTATGGTGCCGCAGGACTACTAGTTGTTTTTAGAGATGGGTAGGTTTTGGTTTGTTATAAGCAGAGGTCTTGGTTTTGCTCAGTAACTTAACAGACACCCAGAAGCATTTATTCAGATGAAAAGTTGATTGATTGCATACAGGAAGGAACAAGAAATCAAAGCAGACATTTATATTGAAACTCTGGTTGAGTGATTATGCAAACAAACATAGTCAAACCCTTTAATGCATTTCTCCTTTGAGGCAAAAGAGCCATCTCTTATTTTCAGAACAACTTCACTGAAGAGGAAAGGGTTAATTTTACTCCAGACGCGATGTGTAGAGGACATTTAGTTATCCTGTTCTTAACAGACAGACAAAAAGGTAGAAGAGAGACAAGCGAGGAATGAGGAGTGAAATACAGCTTTTCCTGATGTGTTTGGAGCACTGGACTGCTAATTAGTTACAAGAGGATGCTTTTGGTTGCAAGTCAACCATGACACTTGCTACTTGGAACCCGATTTACAATCTAGGCAGGAACATCATCTAATTGGATATTTTCTTCATAGACAAAGCAAGTTTGGATGAGTACAACAATACAGGAAGGAACAAGTGATGAAAATTCGAGAGAGAGAGAAAGAGAGAGAGAGAGAGAGACCCGAAAAAAAGGAGGGCAGGAAATAACACAACAGAGGAAGGGAAAACAATGCAGGATCTTATGTGCCCCTGTAGTCCTGGCAATTAGATATCCCCACTAATGAGCTTGAGGACTGGATGTCACAATCATGTGATGACTTTCAGCATTCCCAGTGAAAACGAAATACCTTGAACAAGCTTGAGGCCAGCTAGTCTTCCTTCCAGGAGGAAAGTCCTTTACACAAGACGAGCTGGGCTAATTTGCTGGACTGGCAGTTGGGGTGATAAGCTGGGACACAAGGTGAGATGGGAGATGAGGGGGAGACCTGAGCTGAACTGAACTGATCATGTCTTTCCCCCCATAGTCTCATAGTCCCACTTTCCCCCATAGAAACCCGGAAAGGAACTGATCATGTCTTTCCCCCCATAGTCTCCTTAAGAAACCCAGAAAGGGGGAAAGTGGGTGTCAGAATTCATCCTCATTCTTTTTTCCACCAGTTAGGCCTTGGATCCGTCCCACCAATTTTGGTCTATTAATTCTGGTTCCGTGTTTTCTATTTTTAGCAAGTGTAATTTCAACAATCCTTGGATTATATCCACATGGCTTGTTTGGTTTAGATTTATCAGTTTTCTTTGTTTATTTTGCACTTCTAGCATCATTCAGTATTATAAACAACTGGATCTGTTTTCCATGGTTATTGTAACGTTACAAACTTTCACAGACTTTTTATATCTGTGCTCACAGTAGGAAATACTGGGTTGTCTACACTACAGAATTGAAATACACAAACTTTCACAGACTTTTTATATCTGAGCTCACAATAGGAAATACTGGGTTGTTTCAATAGTCACAACATATCCCATTGGCTGGCGACACTTCCTATTCTGCTTTCCCTTCCCTGGAAGGGGAAGACAGCTAGCAATACAAGTGCAAACTGTAGTCTTAAAGTGGTTTGCCCACATTCTGAATGGAAAGAACAGGTGGAGTTGGCAACACCCTATAAAAATTGAAGCAAAATGTGACTCTCTTTATGCTCACAAAACTGAGCTAGTGCCAGTTTTGCTCCAAATGGTGGTGTGTCTTAGGCTGTCTACACTACAGAATTGAAATAGTCCGCCGCATCCGGGGAACGTGTCTGCTTTTCCAACATTTTTTGAGGAGGAGAAAATGCGCTCTTTCGGAAGCCCTGTAAATCTCGTTTCATGAGGAAGACGGGCTCTTCTGAAAGAGGAGGTTTTTCTGAAATTTGGCCCAGTGTACACAAGCCAAATTTCAGAAAAGCCTGTTCCAGAAAAAAAAATCAGAAAAGGTACGCACATTGTGGAGAGCAAATTGCGTGCCTTTTTCCAAAAAAGAAGTGCAGTGTAGACTTAGTCTTACGAAGCAGAGTCAAACATTTTGGTTGCTGCAGTCCATTGCTGTGTGCGCAATTGTTTGCTTCCTGAAGACAGTATTTCCAGTGACATCCAGCAGGGATTTTTGTTCATTAGACCTTTCATCAATGTGTGACTAGCTCTCTCCTTACACCTGCTCTGCTAATGATCAGATTGTTCAACTCAGGGGCCTGTGGGGATCTAGCAAGTGTCTAGAGGCTGCAGTTCAATTAGCATGTGCACACATTTCAAATAGCTGACTGCATCCTTATTTTACAGTCTCTCAGAACATTTGGCTAGAACAGTGTGTTTCCCTTCGGTTCTACACCCAGCTGAGCTGAAGTTTTTTCTCTGCATTCTGTGTCCTTTTCAGGCTTGCACCTGCCCGGCTCCTATATTTTGCTGCTTCTTTCAAATTTGCTCTCATTGTTGAAAGTCACCTATGACTAAGGCTGTGATTTAATCACAGGTATTTTTAGTAGGGTCATGAACAGGTCATGGGAAAGAAACAAAAAACCCAGCTCCTGCCCTGTCCGTGACTTACACCATAAATACCCCTGATTAAATCTTTGAGAGAGTGGGAAATCCAGGGAGCCTGGTGCAGGGGGTTGGGGAAATGGGGGAAGCTGCAGAGGCAGTGGACGGCTACCCAGGAGAGATTCAAATGCCGCCCAGCGGATTAGCAGAGTGCCCACAGCTAGCAGCGTGTGTTAGTATTGGTGGGTCACATCCCCACATGCGTCGGTGCCTATAACAAAGTTTATTCCACACATGGGTGGGAAACATTAGAGGGAACATTGACAGGGGGCCCCGCTGCCATTCCAACTGCAGTGGGGGGAAGCCATGCAGAGCCCACTGCTGCTCCAGCCACTACTGCTGGCAGGAAGGCCCCAGGGAGCCAGTTGCTGCTCCAGCCACCCCAGGACCACTGCTAGGAACCACCACACTGTGGCTGCGCATGCCACTCCTGGCGCCGCTGCTCAGGCAGTCCCCAGGGATAGCTAGCCACATCAACCACTGCTTGGGTAGTCCTGGGGCCCCCAGAGTAGCTGCCAGTGCAGCTGGCCTCAGACCACTCCAGGAGCAGATGGTGTGGCTGGTTGTTGGGCCGCCCAGGTGTCTGGCTGTAGAGCTGCTCCAGCAGGGGATGGTCTGGCTGTCCCCAGGGTCACCTGAGCAGCTGGCCACTGAGAAGTCATGGAGGTCACAGGAAGTCACAGAATCTGTGACTGATGCAGAATCTTACCTGTCGCTTCTGCTCCTTATGATGCTTTGCAGTCCTGCCGGAACTAGGCCTGTTGTTTGTGTTCCAGGTAACCTATTCCAGCGGCAGTAAATGTTTCAGTTGTTCGTCTGCAGCAGAGAGAGACAAGTGGATGGAAAATCTACGCAGGACAGTGCAGCCTAACAAGGTAATAAATGAGGAAGCGGCAGGACTTTGCTATCAGTAAAATGTACATGCTATGATTAGATTCTTGTCCAGATGAAGTATCAAACCATCATAGAGATGCTCCCCTATTGAATTAGGTTGATCACACCAAAGTAGCTGTAGAGGAAGGAGGCCATGCTTGGTGTTCCAAAAGCCACCAAGCACCACTTTCTATAAAGTGCAATAGGCCAAATGGTTAATCATTTCTATGATCTTGCCGCCTGATCCTCATCTCAAAGAAGTCTGCTCAATGAGACCGATCCAGGAATATTGTCAGTTAGGGGAAGCACCTGGTTGCTAGGCTTTAGATTGGGTTCCTTCTAAGGTAGGACCCAAGAGCAAAGATACTGAACACCATGGCCCAATAGAAGGGATAGGTCTTGGTAATGGAGTGGTTTCACTGTATGATTTAAAACATCAACCAAAAAATTCTACTGAGTTACCAGAAATGGTATGAATCTGCCACTTTCTGAACGGAAGGAGAGTAGTAAGGGTGTGAAGTATCGGGTAATTGACTAATCAAATAGTCACTACATTTTGCATCAACTATTCGATTAGTACAGGGGTAGCCAACCCGTTTAACAAAGAGAGCCAAAACTGCAGCGGAAAAAATGCAAAGAGCTGCACCAGAATTGTCAAGCAAGCGGAAAAAAAGCCCTCCAGAATTGTTGAGCGAAACAAACTATACAAAAATTTATTTAAAAAAAAAAAGGAGCTTGCCCCTTTAAGAAAGGCACCATCTTGGGCACCATTTTTAAAACCCCTCAGCTCTGACCCGGTAAGGACAGGGAAGCCAGGGAATGAGGGGAAACCAGTGGGGGGAAGGGGCCATGCGGGGCGGCGTGGCTGGATTAGTAAATAAGGCGCCTCCCCCTTTGAAGTGTAGCAACAGCCCTAGGGCTTCACGCCGCTCTAATGCCACAAGGAGCCCAACGCAGGGCTCCCTGCGGTGTGTCAAAGCAGCAGCGCCGCACGGTGTCTGGGGTCACCTGGGGGGTCCCCAGCTGACCCTGGGCTCCACACAGCACTTCCGCTTTGAAGTACCCCCTCTTCTTCTCCACCCCCTCTATCTGATAGAGGCAGCAAGTGGGGGATGCAACTAGTTGACTATCCTGTCGACTAGTCCTTCACATCCCTAGAGTGTAGATCTAGTGTGTTCTGAACCAATCTGAATACAGCTTATAAAAGGTGATGAAATAGCGAATGATAAAATGCACTCAGTGCATCATCCGTGTGTTCTGTTTGAAAATAAAATGCTTTTTTTCCTCACAGGACAACTGCCGCCGAGCGGAGAATGTGCTCCGGCTCTGGATCATTGAGGCTAAGGACTTGGCCCCCAAGAAGAGATACTTCTGTGAGCTGTGCCTTGACGACACTCTGTTTGCCCGCACCACCAGCAAAACCAAAGCGGACAATATCTTTTGGGGTGAACACTTTGAGTTTTATGGCCTCCCGCCCCTCCATAGCATCACAGTTCACATCTATAAGGATGTGGAGAAGAAGAAGAAAAAAGACAAAAATAACTATGTGGGTCTAGTCAACATCCCCATGGCCAGTGTGACTGGCCGTCAGTTTGTGGAAAAGTGGTACCCGGTCAGCACACCTACGCCCAATAAAGGGAAGTCAGGGGGGCCTTCCATTCGGATCAAGTCCCGATACCAGACCATCACCATCCTCCCCATGGAGCAGTACAAAGAATTTGCAGAGTTTGTTACCAATAACTACACCATGTTGTGCTCGGTGCTGGAGCCTGTGATCAGCGTGAGGAACAAGGAGGAGATGGCCTGTGCTTTGGTGCACATTCTTCAGAGCACTGGCAGAGCCAAGGTAAGAGGAGAAGGAACATGTCAGAGAGGTTCCTGATGCTCATCGGCATTTTTCACGGGTTAAAAGCACTTTGCAGACTAGGAGGGCTTGGTGTGTGTATAAACATAAATAGGGACAAAGCTCGTATGAGGGTGCGCGGCCCTGGGAAAGGGCATTGGGGGAGGGGAACACTATCAAAGGGGAGGGCGGTAAAAGGGAAGGACTTCATAGCATCCCACCATCACAGGCTAATAAGCTTGTACATTGAGTGCACAGACGTATTTTCTGTAATGCTGGATAGCTGGTGCGCCAAGAACACTGCAGCGTCCAGGAGCTTGCAAACACAGATTTGTAAATGTGTCTTGGTGAACAGCAGGGGTTCACCACTGTTAATGGGTGATTAGCACTTGAATTAGCCTCGCCTGGTTGGGAGTAGCCGCTCTAAAAGGCCAGACCCACATTGCTGCATCCTCTTGTGAGAGTCAATTAGACTTCTGGGGCATATCCTAGGGTTCGCCATTGGCCATAAGCTGAGCTGCTCTATCGTTCTGTCTTTGTGAATTCTGAGAGAGCTTGTCTGTCCCTCTGGGTAAATAGAATGCATCGGGGAAGAAGACTTTGGAAGATTATTAGCACTCAAGTGGCTTAACCTGTATCATCAGGTGATTGGATTACCAGCTGAGTGAAGTGGTACCCAGCTCTAGCCCCTACGACGCCAGCTGTACCAGCTACCCTGAGTTTTTAAAGCATGGCCAAACTCAGATGATCTGGGTGTTGTGTGGCTGGGAACATTTACATAATCCTTCCACTTTTACACTCTACATTTACCATCTTCCACTGCACGGGTCCTCCTAAATCGAATACCCTTTGTGACCAAGTATAATGAAAATTCATAAATGCCCTTTGCTTATCTGATCTAGAGCAGTTTGCAGTGCGCGAAGCTCCTGTAGTGTTGAACTGTAGTAAGTCTGGCAAGCCATCTCCAGATTCCTTCATGATTCTTGCAACTGACAAGTGAATTATCATGTTACAGCTCTGCCTTTGTAGTGATTGTATTTTGGATTCTGACACACTGGGGAAGTATTACAATGTAGGATATTACAACCTGGAGCGCCCTCTCAAGTGAGCAATCCAGGACTTTATTTTATTATTGTTACACTTGCATCTCACTGTTACACTGATTGGGAAACTTCTGCCAATCTGTATAGAAAAGAAAAAGGTAAGTAAATAACAATAAAGCAAGGGTAATGTAGCTTGGATGTAGTTATTAGACTTCCTAGTATGCCAGTAATGTGCACCAGTAAATACGTTGAATGCCATTTTAGGGGTGGGGAGACCTCATTACTTCTGTGTGTGAGGCTAGAACTTTCTTTTGCAGACTAGCACGATTCACTTGTATTATTCACAGAGGCCTGACAGGATGCTAACAGATGTAGAAACCAGACAAAAATTTGGTCTCTGTCCCCAGCGGCTTTACAGTCTTTGAAGCTGGATTCTGGAAGGGACTGAACAGTTTCTTTGGGAAGCAGCTGAGGAATTTGATTACTACTGCAGGACTGGGCCCTGTATTGGCCCTTGCAGTCTGGTTTGATTCTTGCCCCTTCTTCTGTCTGGCCTACCTAATAGCCTAACTGCAGTTCAACACAATACTCAATTAATGCCTAGTAGAAGTCCTACGTTTGTCTCCCAAATCCTCAGACCATTTTATGCTCACTGATGTCATTGGTGTAAATCCTTTTATTAAAATTCCTGTATTTAATAAAATGTTGGCTTTGCTTTCCTCCTGATATTTTGAGTTTGGATAGCTAGGAAACTCCCAACTAAATTTCTCTACCATGGATCAGTAAATCATGACGATAACACGTCAGCCACAGAGGAGTGAGTAGGCCATGGATTCTAATCAGGACCTGGGTTAAATGTCAAAAGAGCTTGGCTGTAGAGATTTTTATTTCGAGGTTTGTTTCCACCTGTGTAATATTACTCATCAGTTCCAGCTGCTGTTGCCATTTTAGAAATGAGTCTAAAAAATGACAGAGTTGGAGATTGTATTGGCTTAGGTGGTCCGGTACACACATGTGTGGGTGACCTCTAATTAATCCATATAACCCCCAATGCTGTAATAGCTGCATGCCTCCCCGCCAGGCCAGGCACTTCAATTCAGTAATCCTCTCCACCCATTCTGAGGCATTCAGGGCTCCGTCTCTTCTTCCCATCTGGGTTCTAAAGTCATTTAAAGAGCAGAGCATGATTCTGTTTGGTTGATAAACCTTATTGCTGCTGGACTTTTTCCCTCAGGACTTCTTGACAGATCTGGTGATGTCTGAGGTAGATCGCTGTGGAGAGCATGAAGTTTTGATCTTCAGGGAGAACACGCTTGCCACCAAAGCCATTGAAGAATACCTAAAGCTGGTAGGACAGAAGTATCTTCATGATGCACTAGGTAAGAAAGTACCAGACTCTCTCTCCTCCCCTCCCCCGCTTTGTTTCACAGAACCTGGGGGGCCAAACACTGTCAGAGCAATCAGCCAAGTGCTAGGGCTGTGCTTTGAGAATCCTGCTGGGAATGCATTGACTGCTGATCCAGCCTCATGGCTGGAATGGGTTCTTTAACTCTAGGACCTGTAGGTACTAGGATCCGTGGTCCCAGCAGATTCACTGGTCCCAGCCAGTGCATACAGAGGCACAAGGGTCTCACCTAGGGGACGTGTGGCATGTCGCTTGCATGAATTCCTGCTCTAGCCCCATGTGCAGTAAAACACCACTGGTTCTGCTGCATCTGGGCCTTTCTTCTTCATGGAATACAGACACAAGATTTGGCTACTAAGTTTTGCAGCACCTGAAAAAACACCATCACTTCTGTGCGGCTTAGGGATCCCCGTTTAATAGTTATCTCATCCCAGTGTTCAGCGGTTTCCTACATATCATTATTTTCCCTTGGGTCCCCTTATTGATTTAGATGTCATATCTCTTCATTATGATTTGTGAGTTATTCGCTCTGGAGTACATGCCTGGGGATAAAGGTGATTGTGATAATGTAACACTAGGAAAGATACTGACAACAGAGATGAAGTTTGGTACTTTTGTATTGTGTAAGCTGTGTGCCTGGACATGGCTGGTCAGTCTAGTGCCAGGTACAATCCCAGCTGAAACAAGCAAAGTCCCTTTCTTGAAATTTCCACAAGTGTGTGCGGCAGAGGCTCTCATAGCCCCATTGGGGGGAAAAGGAGCCATAATGTTGAAGATACTCCCTCAGCTGCCCAAAGTCCCCCCTGGAAACTGAGATGCAACAGCATGAGGTTGAGAGCAAAGCTGATCATCCACTGGATTTTATTGCGGGGGCACCTCCAGCCATGCTGTTCTGGTTCAAGTCCACACCCGTGTTCGGGTTTTGGTACTTGTCTGCAGGGCTGGATTAAGAGAGGGCCTTTAGGGCCTGCAGCCCCGGGCTAAGGAAGCCCCACCCAGAAGATCTCTGGGCTACCAAAAGTGCAGATCTTTGTGTGAGGCCCCTTTTGCCCAGTGCCTGGTCTACAGGCTCTAAAGCCCCCCTGTGCATTATCTGGCACTGCTGGGTTGTGGGGGATGGGGGGAGAGGCAGCTCCACACCTATCCCCTCCCTCCCATCCCACTGGGGCGGGGGCACTGTGCAAAGCCTTCCCTCTTCCCCCACAGTGCAGAGGGCCACAGGGAGCAGCCAGCCGCTCTGAGTGGCACTGCTCCGTGCTGCAGGGACAGGCTGTGGGCTGGAATAAAAGGCTTGGCGGGCTGGACCAGGCCTGTGAGCCGTATTTTGCATGCCCCTGGACTATAGCCTCTGCCAAGGCGCTACCATCCAGCTTGGCCATGTGTTCCATGGATGCTGTTTAAGCCAGAAGTTGGCACAGAAAGTTTATCTGGGCAACAAGGTGATTTCCTCTTTGTGGACCCTGCATGTGCCTGCACCCGGCCTTGGTCCCGATTCCTGCTTCACTCGTGGCTCTTGCCTCATCCCTGCCTTCACTCCTGTTCCCACGGTGCTCGGTCATCGTGCTCCACCCTTCTCCCTCCTTTAGTGCCTGCCCTTGTGCCTCACTTCTGACCTTTGTTACTAGTCCTGGCTCAGACCCTGGCCTCTGACGTCTAACCCTGGCTCTGGCCTGACCTTTTGGCTTTGACATTTGGTATTTGACCTCGGCTCTGACTCTCAGCTTTGATTCCTGGTTCTGATTCCGGCTCCACCCCGGCTCTGGTAGTTAGAAGTTAACTCTGGTGCTGACGCTTGGCTCCATTCCTTAGCCTGCAAGGCTGCTCCGCCCACTAGACCTGACTTCTGCTCTACTAGGCCAGACTGCATTCATCCCCATAACAGCACTGACCCTAAGCCCTCCAACTTCCTGCCTTCCTAGCATTGCCCCATCAGCAAGCCCAGCACTCTCATTTTACTTGACTCCCTGTCTTACCAGCACAGAGACGTTGCCAGCTCTCTGCCCATCCCCCCTGCTCCCCAGCTTTGCTCTGGAGCCAGGCCACTGCCAAACAAGTAATCCCAGCTCCACAAGTGCCACCCCAATGCTGGGTATGTCCACACAGAGCCTAGCCAGTTGTAGCTGGTGTGTGCTAGCTGACTCCAGCTGCAGGGCTATTTCATGGCTGGGTAGATATCTGGGTTGTGAGGTGGGGGGGGGATCCCCAATCGGGCTCCAGTCCAAACCTGCAAGTCTACACAGCAATGAAATAAGCCCTTAGCCTTAGCCCCACAAGCCCAAATAAGCTGCCATGGGTCAGTCGCAGTTTTTTTTCTGTTGTATAGACATACCCATTGCAACTGTACAGCTCCCAGGAAACCGACAGCCTCCCTACAAGGAGGTACTGCCAGCTGTATGCTGGTTCCTCCCCCTGCCCAAGGTCCCGATATGAGCTACCTGTCTCCTTCTTTCGTAGCCTAGGAGGAGATTGGAAAGTGATACAAACCAGGTTAAATCATGTCAAAACTGACTCCTTCCAAGAGAGCCAGCCCTGCTCCCCAGGGGCCTGGAAACTGGCTGGTCATCCAGGTGTGTTTGGCCAGATTAGCTAGTGTCTCAGATCAGACTCTGAGATGTAATTAGGTGCATTTTGAGTGCATTGTGTGCATCTTTTACAAGTAACCCGCCTGATTCTGCCAGTGTTACTCTCACTGGGTAGTCCCTTCAGACACTACTCACCATGAGTAAGGGTGGCAGGATCTAGCCCAGTGCAAGGAGGCAAGTAGCATTTTACTTGATGCCTTGTCTTCTGGCAGATGAAATTATTATCTTTTCGTTCAATATGTTACATTTGACTGGGCATCCTTTAACATGCAGCAGTTGCTTAGATACTTTCAAATGATGACTGTATGCATTGTCTGTATGCATCAGTGCTAAGTGATAAGATTGTGATTCATAAAGTTAGAGATGGAAAAGGACCTATTATGTACCCCCTTGGTTCCAGCCTCGCGAAGATGGCTCTCAAAGAGATGCTTATCCAGTTTTGAACGTGTCAGTTAGATTTGATATTCTGTGAAACAAATTGACCACACTGAATTCAGAATGAGGTGTTAAATGTACCGACACGCACATTTAGATACATGATAGGATCTGGCTATGGACTACTGAGAACAAGTTACAAGTGCATGAAAAAGAATTCAGGAAGCTATTCTTACAGCCAGCGTCTGCTTGCTCCAAAGTGCTGAGAGCTTAGCAAATGCAATAGAATCTCAGTGTTAGGGACACTTCAGGAATGGATCCGCAACTTCAAAATGTTCATAACTCTGAACAAAATGCAGCTCTGGCAGTTCACGCTCTGGGCAAGGTTCCAGAGGCAACAAGGCAGCTTTCTTGCATGCACCACCCTGACGGGAGTGGGGGCTTGGGTGAACGCAGTGTGACCCTGAGTGTGTGTGTGTGTGTGCGTGCGCGCTTGGGTGAACGCTCTGTGTGTGTGTGTGTGTGTGTGTGTGTGTGTGTGCGTAGCTCCTATTAGCGGGAGATCATGGCTTTGTTTGCAAATGTCTGTGTGCCCACCTCCTAGCTGTAAATGGGTGCCCTGCACACAGCGGTGGAGACAAGCAGCCCAGATATGCCTACCTTTAAGATGCAGTACAGGCCCTGCACAGTATTTTTTTTTTTTCTGCCTGTTTACTTCCAGTTTCACTTGGTGTCTGATTAACCCTTCAGTTCAACTTCACATGGAGTCTGGTTGACCATTCAGTCTGGTTTTCATCTCTCTGGAGTTCTACAGTAACACATACCTTGCTCTCCTCCATATCATTTTTCTGTAAAGAAGCCCAAATTGGCTTAATAACCTATTTGTCTTTTATCAAATTGTTGTTCAGCTTGAACTTCCTTCAAGCCTGGAAATGCTGTACTGTTGTTCCTCTGATAGAGTCTCTTCTTTGGCCAGAGTTGAAGTACTAAATTACACTTTATTCTTTGCTGTTGAAGTTTCCCTCTAATCATTTAATGGCCCAATTTCAACCTCTTGTAGTGAAGTACACTGTGAACAAAACTCATTTCAGTCAGCTGTAGTTTCTGTTTCTTCTCGAGGTTCAGGTATCATCAAAAGTTTCTAAACAGGACTGTTTTTCCCATACAACTATGACAACTTGTTCAGAATAATTGCAACATCGCCAGGCTATAAGATTGTATACCCAAACACGGGTACAAAAATTTGTGGAAATGAACAGATTTGAGTAAATGTATCACGCATCCGGTTTGCAAAGCTACTGGTGGTTTGGCTTTTGGGGCTTTGTTTGTTTGTTTGTTTGTTTGTTTGTTTGTTTGTTTGTTTGTTTGTTTGTTTAAAATATTTTTGCACAGCCCTTCTGGCATAAGCGTCAAACTGGGAACAACTGAGGAACGAAATCAAGAGTCACTCATTCATGAAACAAATAAGTGAAGACTGTGCACAGTGGCAGTTTAAAAAGAAATGGGTTTGCTAGAGTACATACGAGAGAGAATAGACAATACGCTGAAAATGCAGTGTATCAACCAGTCGAAGCCCCACATCCCAAATCTGAAGTTGTGTCCAATTCTAGTTGCCTCACTTGAAAAAAGAGAAGTTAGAAGTTTAAAAGCTCTAGAAATAGGCAACAAAGATTCTGCAAGATGTAAGAATGACAAGAGACGGCATATCCCAGGATTATTTAGCCCGGATTGAATTATTCACAGTGCAAAGAGCAGAGTGAAAATGGGAGAGTCCTCCTTTTACCTTGTCGCATAACACAAGACGCAGGTGAAATTAAAGGACATTAAATTTAGAACTAATACAAATAAAAAGTACAGTATTGTCAGATTCATTGCCAGAGAAGGTCATAAAGACAATAAAAACTGACTTTGCTTTTTAAACCAATGGACAATTTTATGATCACCTCTACATTTATATTGATTCAAAAAGAGATAAGGATAATCCAGAGTGTGAGCTGACATCTTGCGGATGTCAGAAAGGAATTCTTCACTCCTCTGCACCCTCATGTACAGCTAGATAGGTTCATGATCTTAGGAGGGGAGAGGAGTGAGATTTGCCGCCTTCTAAAGCATCAGCTGTCATCCAGAGCACCAGTGCCCTGGTCTGGTGGCAAATGCTCTGTTTGAGAACAGTTACAAGGAGTCCTACACTCCACATCTGCATCTGACAAAGTGGACTCCAGCCCACAACAGCATATGCCCAACAACTGTGCAGTCTTTAAGGTGCCACGGGATTCCTCGTTGTTTTTACTCCACATCTGGTGTCTAGAGACTACCTGACTGCAGATACTGGGTGCAGAAAATGCAGTTGTCAAGGAGAGGAGTAAACAGGATTTAAAGATACATCAAGAAGAGTTTTCTATAATTGCTACTGTTTGTAACCCTCTTGCATTGCAGGGGAATTCATCAAGGCTTTGTATGAGTCAGATGAGAACTGTGAAGTTGATCCCAGCAAATGTTCATCCAGTGAATTAACTGATCATCAGAGCAACCTGAAAATGTGCTGTGAGCTGGCCTTCTGCAAGATTATCAACTCCTACTGGTGAGTGCTTGATTTGACCATTTGGTTAGGAAAGGCAAACGTAGTCTCCACCTCTCTCCAAAACAGCAGTTGTAGCAAGACCAAGGTCAAACATATTTCCGTATATCGCAGTAGCTTGGGTTCTCGTGTTGATCACTCCCTGCACATCGTAGAAAGAAGTTCCGCCCGAACAAGGAGTCCTGACAACATCCCCAGTCCTATATACCGTACCCCATGGGAATGTCCCCTGATGTATGTTCTAGGGCAAGGGAGATACAGTGAATGATGATTGACTTTGAATAAGCAGAGTTCTTGGATCTGTAAAAGTGGTATGGAAATGATATTGTGGGAAAAGCTTCACAGGGAGATTTCTTTTAGTGTCAACTTCTGCTCGAGCTGGGAACATTGAAATATTGGCTTTTCTGCTTCCGGCCAGAGCAAATCAAAAGTAATCAAAGAAGTTAACTCCGCACTAAAATCCAAACTCCAGTTATAGAAATGAGCAACATTGTTCAGTGTGCATCTGAATTTTTACTAGCCAATTTGCCATTCACTTCAAAGGGGGATGGACAGTTCTTAACCTGTGAATCCCAGTGATCAAAAAGGATTTAGTTTCATAGCTTCCAGAGGGATGCTTTGAATAGTATCTAAGTGTACCAAATAAAATGTTGATCCGGGAGCTAAGACGAGAAACTTAATAAAATTTGCTGGTCTCAGTAACAGAAGAGCCAAGCGCTCCTGTTATGCTTTTACATTTCCTATGACAGGCCATCGGTTCAGCCTGTTGCGTTTCGTGCTCTTGTCCTTGTATTGATTGATGCATTTGTTTGCAGTGTGTTTCCTCGGGAGCTGAAGGAGGTGTTTGCATCCTGGAAGCAGAAGTGCCTCAGTCGGGGCAAGCAGGACATCAGTGAACGCCTGATCAGTGCCTCACTCTTCCTCCGCTTCTTGTGCCCAGCTATCATGTCCCCTAGTCTCTTCAGTCTCATGCAGGAGTATCCAGATGACCGGACATCTCGCACTCTGACACTCATTGCTAAAGTCATTCAGAACCTCGCCAACTTTGCTAAGTAGGTGGCAGGAACATACTGGCCCTAATGCAACGATTTTCAGGGGTATCAGTCCCACTGCATGTTATCGAGGAGGGAACAGAGAGCTTTGTGCACATACAACTCTAAAACTAAATGCTAGGAATACTGTGGGAACCTTTGGCAAGGGAGGATGCCTTTCCTCCCATACACCGTGTCTGTAAACCAAGAACAGTTTCTGAAGAATGTTGAAATATGTACGCTGTAGGCCTGGTTCTGTTTCCAGGAGTAACTCCACTGAAGTCAGTAAAATGACACTGCTGTAAACTGAGAACAGAACCAGGTGTATTCTGTGTCAGTACATTTACACTTTGGCTTTTGCTTGATCTCATTATTACTAATGATGACACATCGAATTTAATACAAGTTACTTGAAGGTGGTAACGCTTTTATATCCAAACTCCCAGCAAAAGGAATGATGCAAAGGACACATGGCCAGAGCCGCCAAAGGAGGCAATGGGGTGGGGTCCACCTGTCACCCAGTGGTATGAATAGTGGGTTGTTAGTACCCAGTTGAGTCAAGGAAGGAGGTGGGATTCTTCAGTCGCTTGCCCCTCCTCTTTCTTCTGCCACCCCAGGAGAAAGATGAAATGGAAAGCATTTGAATAATTCTCTGAACATATATCCATTGTATTCTGTGTGGATGTGATTCACTATTTCTCTCCCCTCTAGGTTTGGGAATAAAGAAGAGTACATGGCCTTCATGAATGATTTCCTGGAACATGAATGGGGGGGAATGAAGCGCTTTCTGCTGGAAATCTCTAACCCAGACACCATCTCCAACACGCCTGGGTTCGAAGGCTACATTGACCTGGGCAGGGAACTCTCGGTTTTGCACTCCCTATTATGGGAGGTTGTGTCCCAACTTGATAAGGTAAAGCAGGCTGGAGGGCTGCAGTAGTGTCATAGAATTGTCAACACTGGGAAACATCCAAGGAGCAGCCATATCCTATGTTAGGGAGAACTTTCTAAAGTTCAGTAACGCCTTAGAAAGCATGTGTCTGTGTACTGAATATTTATCCTTCCAGTGATTCCAGATCAAGGCCTAGCTCCTGCAAGACCTGTGAGGCCTTGAACAGGATGTGCAAGGTAGTTGTGGTCCAGCACAAGAGTAAATGCTCTGTAGAGGCTGGGTGTTGAATCTTATCCTGTGCACAGTGCTATGAAGCCTCCCTGACCACCCCCTCCCTTACCCACATGTGCAGGGTGGCAGGGAGCAGGGCATGGATCGGGAACGGGATTGTCAGTGGAGACAGTGAGTTGCTTTGCTGCACTTTCCCTTCTCAGACTTGACAACTCCTCCCAGATTGGAGTAGTGTAACCTCAGTGATTTCATTAAGGGCCTGAGCCAAAGACCGTTGCACTCCCTGGGAATCTTTCTGCTGATTTCAACAGGCTTTAGATCAGACCTTAGTGTAAGATCAGGTTCCCCGTGCACATCCTGCCCCATCTGTATTTTACATGTCCCGCATTGTGCCCAGTGAAACTGGTTCTCAGAGAGCCAACACTGGAAGCTCCCAGATCTGAAAAGCAAGCTGCGTCTCTACTGTCTCCTACATCATCACCAAAGGCAGTTGGCAGGCAGTCTGCCGTTAGCTGGCAAATTGGCTGATGCATGAGGTAGCACAGACTCCAGCTTGACATTCTGTGGCCATGTGGGCTTTGCAGGGCCAAAGGGATTAAAAATTGGTCAGTAGAGAGAGGATTCAGCCACAAAGAATTGAGGTTTTTTAAAAGATTTCCCCCTATTTTCCATGTTCACAAGCACTTGGCTATTCCCATCACATGCAGAGTTTCAAAACTGCACTGTGTTGCCTGCAGTCCCAGATTCCATTTACACTGTACCTGTCAGGTCTTTCCTTTTCAAATTGGAGGTGAGGTGGCCTGCTGGGGGATACTAATAATATTTTGTGACTAGCAAGGTTGGTAGAAATAATGGTTTATTCAAAAATGTATTTCTTACTGGTCCAACATAAAATGATTTGTGTTGGTGAAGTAGAGTAAATCTAAATGCCCTTGATGCATGAAGATCAAAACACACATTTTAATTTGGGAAGCATTGTGGAATTGTTTGTCAGTTTCCTGTGTAAACTCATATATTTGTTGCACTCTAAATATCATCTGCAGTAAAATTATCCTACAAAGACTACTTTCCTAAGAGCCACTGGCATGACAATCACTGGACTTTTGTCTTTGCCAGTGTCAGGTCTGACATCATAGTAATTGGGGACTGCAGAACTGCTCTCAGAATGCAAAGATTTGGTATAAGATTTGAGAGTGGAGACAGGAAGCAGATACAGTATTAAGCCAGAAAGTGCTGTGCTCTTTTCCAAGTGCGGCTGTATTAGTATATCCTAACACGTTTTGGGAAAGGGGTTTTGTTACACACTAAAATGGGAATTAGGGGTTAATGTTACATTACCATGTTGCTTTACAGTGGGCCGTGACTGGGAAAGGGAATAAATTAAGTTGCCTGGAAAAGCTGGAGATTTTAATAAAGGACAAATAACTGGGAGAAACAATCAGGTGTAAAGTAACTTTCCACTGTAAACAACTGATTGGATACCTGTTTCCAATCTTTGACAGGAAGGCAGTCTTTGTAATGAGCTTTACTGAGTAATAATACCTCCTGTACATCCCACTTCCACCCCTTCCGTCCCAAGAACCAGTGGCAATGTGTTTATGCCAACATCACCTTATCAACTCAGGGCAGATTTCCAGAGAAGAACAGAAAATCTGAGCAGCAACTTCCACCACAAGGACAATAGTGTTGGTAGAACAGCTGTTTATGGTCAGCTAATGTTGGTTAAGGCCTGGCCGGACTTAAGTGTAATGATGCAAGGTAATTAGATGCTGGTCACTGGCTGAAGTGAAGATATTGGGGTGGATGTTACAGGAGTTTTCATGAACTATCATTTCATTTTAAATGCTGAAAGCCCCCTTAGCTTTTGGTAGGACCTTGGTACAAAAGATGGCATCAATGTAAAAGATGCCAAAAGGAGAAGCTGATGAAATGGAAACCTCTTTCCCCACAACCCTTTCAATTCTCTCCTGGATGCCTTGAATGCAATCCCCCCTTCTCTGTTGGCATGCATTTCTTTTACCACATGACCCCCTTTGCCTGGAAAGTTCCCTCCCATTAGCTGATTCTGTAGTCTCTGAATTCCCTTCAATTAGTAGTTACTATAGTTTTTACCTTGTCTCCACCCTGGATTTAGTTTGCTTTGCATGACAGTTTTGTGTTGGAATGGCAATAGTTTGGTTTTATTGAGCATGAATTTTATTTTTGGGAGTCAATCCTAATTTCTTTTCTATTTCCTTTTCTTTCCTCAATGTCTGCTGCACCCTGTTTCGTCTCCTTCATTCATCTCGTCGCCGTGGTTACGCTGCTCCGTAACAATGCATTATGGTCCTGCCATACCCACACACAAACACCTACCCTCCTTCCTTCCAACCTCCATCCCTCTGCATCGTTATCAAAAAATGGCGGATGTCGCGGTGCTTATTGTCCAATCAGGGTGAAAATTCCTTCCTACAGGCGACCGTGGCAAAACTTGGACCCCTCCCTCGCATTCTTGCTGATATCACCAAGTCAATGACCAATCCTACGCCAATACAGCAGCAGCTGCGGCGTTTCACCGAGCACAGCTCTAATCCAAATGTCAGTGGCAGTCTCTCCTCAGGGCTTCAGAAGATATTTGAGGACCCCACTGATGGGTATGTAACAGCTGGGGTTCGAGAGCAAATACAAAGCACAAGGGATGTGGGATCAGGCAGGTTATGTGATTATATTGAGGACCCCTGTCCAAACAATAGTCATGCCAGATTTTTAACTAGGTAAGTGTGACGACTCAGAATTGGTACCTGTAGTAGGGAGGCCAGGATCCCACTGAGATATGCCAGGACTAGTGCAATGATCTGTAAGGTTTGGACTTAGCCAGGATTCTGCTGTTTGCCTAAAGTCAGTGACCTTATACCACTGGCCAACCTGAGTAAAGTACAAGGAGATGGAAAGATCTAAACAAAGTATGTAGCTCAATACTAATCCTGTAAAGCGACTGAAATGCCTCGCTCTTAGAGATCAGATTGCCTTCCTAGTAGCATTGAGAAACGTGTATTCTGACTTGAAAAAGTAGAAAGCTCCGTAAAAGGAAATAATCTAGTTCCCTGAGGCTTTTTGAGAGAGAGGGAAGGGGGTTAATTGAGGTAGAAAGGCATCTCTGGAACAGATCTACTGGGATTGTGGCTGGTTAAAAATTAACCAAATGCTTGTCTGTTCCACAGTGACCCGCATAAACTGAAATCTCCAACCCAGGAAAATATAGATGGATATTTTCGAGGGAAAACCTTACTCTTGGTGCAGCAGGCATCCACCCAGAGCATGACTTCCTCGGACAAGGACGAGAGGGAGAGCATACTGCCCAATGGACGTAGCATCTCCCTCATGGACCTGCAGGACCCACATGCCACTCACAGCGATCCCGCATCCATCCTGCACGATGTGCCTTTGCGTCTGGCGGGCAGCCAGCTCTCCATAACACAGGTGGCCAACATCAAACAACTGCGGGAGACGCAGAGCACACCACAAAGCGCTCCCCAAGTCAGGAGACCGCTGCACCCAGCCTTGAATCAACAAGGCAGCCTCCAGCCCCTGTCCTTCCAGAACCCGGTTTACCAGCTCAATAACCCTCCTCCACCAATGCCAAAGGCCTCTGTGGACTCCAGCTTGGAGAACTTAAGTACTGCCAGCTCCCGGAGCCAAAGTAACAGTGAAGACTTCAAACTCAGCGGACCCAGCAACAGTAGCATGGAGGACTTCACCAAACGCAGCACGCAGAGTGAGGACTTCTCCAGGCGGCACACTGTGCCAGACAAGCATGTGCCGATGGCTCTGCCCCGTCAGAACAGCATTGGGCAGGCGCAGATCCGTAAAATGGACCTGGTTGGGTTGGGCGCCAAGGCCAAAGCCCCTCAGTCCCTGCCACACAGCGCTTCCTTGCGGAGCACCGGGAGCCTGTCGGCAGCCTCAGGTGCAATGGTGACAGAGCCAGTTCAGAATGGGAGCCGGTCTCGGCAGCAGTCCTCATCCTCCAGAGAAAGCCCTGTCCCAAAGGTGAGGGCAATTCAGCGGCAGCAGACGCAGCAGGTAGGAACAAAGTTCTTCTCCCAGATCTTGTCCATTTTCTGGGTTTGTGACCTTTGGTGGTAAACTGCCCATTTCAGCATTTTCCACTGACTGTATTTAAATGTGAAACAAGAAATGTGAGCTGATTCTAGTAATATGGGAGGAGGAGAGGCTTAAATGGTAAGAACAGCAGGCACAAGTGCTTGTTGGCTTCACTATCGTTACTAGCTTGGCTAGCAACTCTCACTTGTGAAATAAATGAGCACAAGATAATCAAATTAATATTTTAAGTCTGTGTTTCCAGTTTACCGTCATATTAGAAAAAGTGACAAACTTGTTTAAAGAAACAAACTGAAGAATTCCAGGAACAAAAAGCTTGTTTTCGAAAGCCAGGTATGATGTCTGAGAGTAGATTTCCCAACTTAAAAACAGGGAAATGAATCGATAAAAGCAGCATAGGATCCGGGTTGCCCAACTATTACGCAAATGCTCTGACCTCCACTACTGTCATCAATAATATCAGAATATGAACAAAATGAAAACACTTAATAGAAATACATATTTATGTATTCCTGATGCATATTGATTGACCTCATATGCAAATCCACATACTTAATTTTACCATAAATCAGTAACAGTATGCGTGTTTCATCTTACACAATTTGGTTCTTAACAAACAGCAATTGTATAACACCAGAAGATTTATCTGGTGTTGCTTAGGTCCTTAATTCAGATAAGTTTTGGGGCTTTTTTTCATTTAAATCCTTTGTCTTGAGTGAGGCTGGAGATGAGGGGTTCAGGATGCAGGCTGACCCCGGGAGAGAGAGCAACCCCAGCCCCCTCTCACCGCAGCAGTTTGGGGCCAGGTGAGAAGTGCCTGTCCATGGCTGCTGCACAGATGCAAGAGGGGTGCCTCTCCCCCAGCTTGGGCACAGACAAGCAGACACAAACAGATAAACTCTCTGAACTATATAGTAGATAGCTGTCTCTATCTCCACCCCTGCTCGGTCCTGGCCCAATGGGGTTATAGCTGTTCTGGTCACAATCTCAGGGCCCTTACTGCCCCCTATGGTCATTCTGCAGTATAATTGTCTCCTACCAGACCCCTTCCTTTCCATTTGACGAGAAACAATCAAATTCCAGGCACTTCCATCCCATTGTCCTGGCACAACCAAACACAAACCTTGCTTTAAGTTATGATAAGAGGAAACTGCCTACCAAATTTGGTCCTAGCTCTCACTGTTTAGGAGGAGTGCTTGAACAAATGGACTCACAAACCAGACTGACACACATTTCTAAAATATATAGTAAGATTTTACCAAAAAAGTGTCTGATAAATATTTAGATAATATAATGGTATCCTATAAATTGAAATATTTAAATACTGAAATTAAGGTAGCCTATACAAATGCCCAACAGTCCATAGCACAATCATCTTAACTCTGATCTATGAAGATGTCCTGTATTAATTTCTCTGCTCTATATTAGAACAGTGCATGTATGTTTATCATCTAGGCAGTGTAAGATTTATGATGTGCTTAAGTGTTGTTATCCATGATTTTACGTACTTGAGTTCCATAGTTAATTTGAAAGCTAAGTATACTCTTGTCATGCAATGACCTTATCTGGCTTTGAAATGAGGCTTTAAACTGGCAGCTTGAAATGCACAGGGAGGCAAAAGGAAGCCACTGCAGTTCTCTGACAACCGCTGTTATGTGATCATGCTGACACAGTAAGCAGGCCAGGTGGTTAGTTGCCTTTTGCACTAGCTGAATCTTCCAGGTGGTCTTCGCAGGTAGGTCCAATTAAAGGGCACTGCAGTGTCACATCCAGGAAGTCACAAAGGTGCAAGTGAGGACCCATGGCAAAGGAAAGCTGCAACCTCTTAGGTTTGATTTACACTTAGAAATTTTGTCAGCAGAGCTGTGTTGATTCAGAGTTTGAAAAAATCACACCCTTACCTGACAGCTCTAGTATGCTAAGCTGGTAGTGCAGACTTGACTTACGCCAGCCCAGCAGAAAAGTCCTTTGCTGGTGCCAGCTCTACCAGGAGAGCCTGTTGGTATTGCTCTACCAGTATAGGTATATTACACCAACAAACCCTTTTAAACGTAGACAAGGCCTTTTGCAATGTACGTCACCATACCTGGTGTCTGGGAACCCGAGAGCAATCAGTGCTTGAAAACTACCATGTGGTGTCTGCCTTTCACTACAGTACCTGATATCCGACATACTGAATCACAGAGCCAAGCTTATTAGGCAATGATACGTATACCAAAGAAATGAATCCCATGATGTTTGAAGTTTTTTATACTGTTTGTATGCCTGTCCCTGGGAGCTTGTCTCGTATGTGGGTATAGGCATGTTGATAGATATATTATGTTGGACGGTACCATAAATTACATGGTTAAGTCACTACTAGGTTTAAGCCCAGTATAATAGGAATTGTACTTGGAAATCCACTAACTGCTTTACTAATGCTTCAGCTGCCAGGTGAAACAGTTCTGCTGAGTTTCATTTTGTACTGCAAGTAATTCCTTATTAGAATTCCCTCTGGAAAAAGTTGGTTTCCTTGAGGCATTTTGCTGAAAATGACTAGAAAAATAAACATGCACATCTTGAGGGCCGTGGGACAGAGGAACATACAGGCTATTTTAAAAGCAGCCTTTTAAAAATATGACTGACGCTATTCTCCATCATATACACATGTATGGGTGTGCATGAATGGGAAAAACTACAGCTAACGCCTTTTGCATGTTTTTGAGAAATCTTTAGTTGACAGTTTGCAACCCCTTGAATAATCTCCTTTCGAGTCTGTTGCATCTTGAGTTACTGATCGCTGTATTTCTGTGAAGTAAAGCAGTTTCCTCCTCTTGCTAGAAATGACAGTCAAAGTGATGCTCCAGTCTTCCACCTTACACCTTCCCTCTCCTTTTATCCTTCAGCAATGTTGATGCCTTATAGCTACAGTCATCTTCAACAGACTGCATTTCCACTGGCCCTGTAGTTTAGGAAAGTGTCGGTTTTTTATGTGTCGCCCAGATTGTCACCCTTTCTTTTCTACACTGACTTTATTCACCAGTACAGTTAGTTTCCTTGTTTCCATCTCAAACACAGATCTCAATCTGGTCTGTTGTTTGGTATCCTAAAAAACTGAGATGCTTCTTGAGCTGTTCTGACTAGTGGCCAGCCTGTTCTTGGCACAAATTCCACTGCATGTTTTTAATTGCAAATATCACTGTGGAATTCTTTTTCTGGCTTTTTCTGGGTGATTTCTCTCTGAGTGTTGCTTTGTGAGTTTTGTTGTTATCAACTTCTTTGCAAGCTTCGTTTATTTTTGAGCACAGAGCAGTCCTGTTTGCTTGTCTGGGAGACATTAGCTTCTGCTTTCATTTGCATTTAGTGAATTAGGTGGGCGATAGAATTTTCAGCGGAATTTAGTTATATTAAATATCGAATAATTTCCCTCTGGCTTTTTTCACTTGGGACTTTTTTTTAGGGTGTCTTACCCTTTACCGCCTGCTTCTTTTTTGATCTTATAACTGTTTGTGCTGGGATTTGATTACTGAAAATATTCTCTTCTTCAATTTAAAGGTTAACTGGAAAGATATGCTGAGGAGTAAGAGGTCTGGAAAGGTGTCATTAATGCATTTTGTCCTGACCCTTGTGCTGTCTTATCCTTCTAGAACCAACATGAGAAGCAATTTTGTTTTTGTTAAGGATCAAAATCTTTCAGCCTTTCTAGCATTTCCCAGTGTCTGCCACAGTATTTACTCTGGAGAGGTGCTGATTGGTGGCAGAGCAGTCCATGGTTCATGTTCTCTCCTGCTGTCTCTGTCTCACAATAAATAATGTCAAGAGAAGCATCCATAAATTTGGGTAGCTACTAATAGCTGTATCAGTCATGCTGCCTCTGAGCAGGTTATTAACCTTTCCACCACAAATTTCTCTCTTTCCAGGCGGGGGACCGCCATCTCTGTCAAAGCCCTGAAATTCTCTCTGACCCCGCCCATTTTTCTTATCTCTACACCCATCACTGCCAAGGCTCCTTGTTGCTAGACTCAGCATATCATCTACTAAAGATAAGAGCCATTGCTGGTGGACCTCAGGTAACCCTTGAGCAGGTGACTGAGCGAGACTGAAGCGGGAAATCCTACCTAGATGTCTGCTTCGATAGTAGGCTGAGCAAACTCTTATTTTAAGAGATTATAACTCACTTGTAAAACATGCTTCCCTAAAACCTAGCAAGCAAGATCACAGCCCAACAACCCACTCGTGTTTTAAAATACCACATGAGACGACAATCTGAAATAGGATAGACTGTTACTTAGTATGTAAAGCTAGTGAAGTTCATTTACACATTTCAGTAGGAGGGGTAAAAATGACTCAGAATTTAGCTTAATGTGTTCCTCAGTCATTCATATTTTTGGTTTAGTCAAATGACTCCACTAAGCTATTAAGTCAAAAACCCCACGCTCCTCCAGGAAAGCTGTTGCTCCTAGCAGAATAAGCGCATCAGTTGGTGTTCTGTTGCCATCCACGCAAGGTGACTAATAACACTGTTCTCGTAACCCTCTGTTCATCTGTGTAGCCGCACACCCCCTTTTGTGTTCCACAAAAGGAAGCAGCGCTGCTGAGAGATGTTGGCATCCAAAGCCCTCCACAGAAGGGCCTTGGGCTTCATTCTAGATCCCTGAGTTCTGCCCCTGTTGCACAGAAGCAGCTTGCTGGGTTCCCTCAGCATGTCTGAGGTGTAGTCTTCTGGGGCCTCACTACATTGTGCCCCTTCTTGTCTTCTCCCCCCCGTGGCAGGCGTGTGGACTTTGCCTGAGAACCTGGCTAGAGAATGGCAAGAGCAGCTGGGCCCTAACAAAAGCATCACTCAGCCTCAGTAGCAGCCCCACCTCTGTGTCTAGTTGGCCCCAGAGGTGAAGAACTCTCAGAATGCCGAAGGAGCTGCTGATCTGGAGAGCGATGAAAGTGGTTTCCAGTGGTTTGTCTGAATCTGCACTGACTCCAGTGGGGAAGAGACTATAGTTGTCTCCTTCCCCACCTCAAAGCAGCTGCTACCAGCACTATTGTGTGAGGTGCCCTGCCCAGTCCACAGTGATCCTCTTTTCTTGTCTGTCGGTAGCAGTACCACAGGAGATGTAGGTTGTGTAGTTGGTCAGACTCCGGCTCAGGACTGCCTTCTTCTTAGAGGAAGCCCCTCCACGTTAACAAGAAGTCACTTCAGCATGTGATATGATCTTCCACCCTCAGCAAGCACTGGGTTTGTCTGCTCTGTGGCGTAACTTTAGGCCCTTTTTACAGGGAAGTGTTTGAGCGTCCAGATTTATCCGCACAGCTGTCATAGTTACCCATATTCTTTCTACTCGGCGAGTGATCCTTCGTAATAGGAAGACCTATTTAGAGAGAAGAACAAAATTGTTTTCTCCCCAGCAATGAGCAACTTTTCAAGGGCAAGGAGTGCATTTCACAATGGGTCTGTCTATACTGTAATTACACATCCATAGCCAGCCAACTTGGGCTCACAGGCACGGGCTCTGGCTTCCTCCAGGCCTCAGTGGTGCTTATCTATAACCCCTAGGGTTGCCAGGTGTCCGGTTTTTGCCCAGTAATTGCGTCTTCTGTCTGGCAAAAAAAAAAAAAAACCAACAAAAAAACCAGAAAATTTTCTGTTTTTCTTGGACAGAAGGCCGGCGGGGACATTTTCGCAGTGCGCAACTACGCAGTAGAGGGGCAAGGAAGGAGAGGGGCTGGGGCGCCAGGATGGAATCCCCGGGGCCAGACTTGCCCGTGCGCCCTGCCGGGATCGTGTGTGGGACGAGCAGCACACCAGGATCTGCATACGCCTGGGTCAGCCCCACTCTCTGCCAGCCACTTCC